CTACACAGCATGCATTGCCATGCCCAGTCTTTTCAAAGAGGTTTATTACTTTCAACAGAGGCTATCAAATAAACAGAAAATACTATCAACTCTGTCCTTGCCCCAGGCTTCAGGACCACCCCTCCCAGAGGTGTCTGGCATTCAAGCTCCTGGCAGCTTCCTAACCTCAGCCAGCTCTGTTCCCCTCGTGGAGCATCTGCTTCCCTATGCCCCCGGCCCCTTGCTCCAGGGACCCAGCACAGGAACTAGCTCCACTCCAGTGTGGCTTTTCCTCCCTTGGGCTCAGCCTCTCTCAGTCCTTCCTTCCCCAGCTGCCTACTAGCAGCCCTTTATAGGCCCATTGGTAGCTCAGCTCTTTTTAATTAGTTGGTTTGGGCTCACCTGCTCCAGTCCAGGGGAGCTCAGTTTAGTTGTCCTCAGGGACTAGGTACCCTGTGTCACCTTCTCTATAAGCCTGATGTGAAAAACTCTATAGCCAGAGTTTTTCTGTAGTACGGATACACCCCTAGAAGGTCATCCTAGCTGTTCATTTTGGTTGATTCCAATTCAATAGGTCAGGCAGTTTTCAAGAGAACCATGGTCAATACTTTCAAACTTGTGCATATATAGTTAAGTACTGCATTCATATTTAGGCACATGAATAAAACTGGCTTGATCTGCAGAGAGTCTAAGCACCCCACAGCTTTCATTAACTTCAAATGCCAACATGCACATGCAGATCTGGATTTTGACAGGAGATTGAAAAGCTGGCCTGCAAAGTTATGTTAAAAGCTCATTCAGTCAGATAAATGTCTGCTTCCCCAGCCAGCGTCTGATCAAATGTCTATTAAGGAGACATTTGTAGGGCAGTTCCAGGTTGTTCTCCTTATACCTTTTACAGACATGGTTTGCACATGGCCTTGTGGCAAGAATTTGGGTTTAAAATGTGTTACGGCCCTGTTTCTAGGCAAGGAGCGTTGCAACTCTTCCCACCCCTAGCTGTTTAGTTGTACTTTTCAGGCTGGTTTTAATATTTGTCATGACTTTAAGAGAACTTAGTTCTTAAAGAAAATAATATTGTAGGGGAAGGGTATGTTTAAGGTAAATGGATGGTCCCAAGGTTTTGTTTGTGGAGTACTGGAGTGAAATTTTGCTTGTGCTTGGCTGACTTTGTGAAATAATTGTCATAGTTTCAAGTTAACTTTTAAGAGGCCTAATACTAAATATGGAGAATGGAATTCTACTTATGAGAAAAAGATCCATTAAGGATCCAAAACATAGCTTATAATGAAGGCTAAGATTTTGTCATGGATATTTTTAGTAAAAGTCAGACAGGTCATGGGCAATAAACAAAAATTCACAGAAGCCCTGTGACCAATCCGTCTTTTACTAAAAATATCTGTGACAAAATGGGGAGGGAGGAGAGTCCTGCTGCTGCTCTGGGGTCCCCTTCACCACCCACAGAAGTTGAGAGTGCTGGGGTTCCCCTACTGCCCACAGTGGCTGGGAGCTGCAAGGTCCCTTCACCTTCCAGGGGCTGAAATGGAAAATGTCACTGAGGTTTCTGGAAGTCACGGATTCCGTGACCTCTGTGACAAACTCTTAGCCTTTCTTATAATAGCGTTACTAAGCTTTTTGGAATATGAAGGGAGAATAGTTATACACATTTTATTACAAATAGTTTTAGAGAAGCAGTGAAAAGAATAAGCTTTCAGCCACTGCAGTAGGAGCTTCTACATTGCTGTATAACTATTTTAACCTAGGCAGTTACACCCCTCTGCACAGTCACATCTAAGAAATGTAACAGCGCCCTCATATTTGAGTGGTGCAATAATGGAGACAGAAATAAATTCTGTATTCCTTCAGGGAGGCCCAATTGATGCTATTTTGGAAGATTCCCCAGTAAGTCATTAGATTTTGGGTGAGGTATTGGTTAGAATTTCTTTCCAAGGGTAACATGTCCTTTGAAGAATTTCCATACAGGGAGTGAAATAAGAGCTGATATATCTGTTTCGTTTGTAATTAAGATATCCTTATTTCAAGACACTGCTATTTGTTTTACCATGTGACCATGGTTACCATGTGACACTGCTGTTTGTTTTGTCCATTAGTATTTGTGTCAATTACATTCTTTTACTTCCTTTATCAGGATAGTTATAGATATAAAAGAAAAATCCCCCTGTTTGAACTTTAATTTTGTCCTGAAGTTAGTTATTTTACAAAATTTGGAAACTAGAAACATATTTCTGAAGATTTGTTTCTAAAATCTAGGGATATTTTTTGGTATTAGCTCAAAATAATATTGGGGGAAAAAAGCTTTCTCTAACTGAATGGATTGGCCTAATAAAAGGTTGACAATATTTATTTTTAATACAAATGGAACTGAAAACTACAAATATATTTTTCAATCAGAGTTATGTATATTCAAGCAGATTGCTTTTGGAGCCTTCACTATAAATGTATATGTTTTTAAGGTATTGTATGTCACCACCTCCTGCTGTTTGACACATAAATACCTCTTCACTTGGAAGTGTCTCATTCAGCTGATTTTGTGCTTTTATTCTGTTTTTACAAGGAAGTTTTCGTGCCAGCAGTTTAGGCCAGTTTTATTTTTCATGGACCTCCAACTTGGGGCCAGTATTTTAAATGTGGTTGCTGGCAGGTAATTAATGATCAGTTGCTCAAGCTGGTCTTTAAAGGAATTGCTGTAATGAAAGGCAATAATCTAGGGCCCAATCCAGCAAACTCTCAAACACACAAGTAGCCCCACTGAAATCAGCAGAACTCCTTAAATCAGTAAGGTCAGCTCAGATGAGTAAGGATTTTCGGGATCACGCTACCACTTAGATTCACAGCTGAATTTGTCCAACTACTGAGTGTGCTCTGAAGTGTTACCACAAAAGCATTATGTTACACAAAGAAATACTTCTGCTGCTGCTGTCTATTTTGTTTTCCCTCCCAAGAGACTCCAAAAAGAGAAAAAATATTCCTTTTTTCCCCTCTGCATCCTCTGATACCTCAGTTGCTCTCATGTGGATTTTGGATGGATTTCCTTTTCACTCCCATTTTCCACATTAGAAAGAATTTTAAAATGTACTCTATTCTTGAACAATGAGCACAAAGGAAAGCACATGACTGATCATGCATGTAGCTACACTGAGCAGTCCCAAAGGCAACTGAATATTTTCTGACTTTTTACTATTGAATAACTCAGAAATAGGTGAGTGGATTCACTCAAATTTACAACCAGCACAGCAAAATTTACAAAACTCAAAATTTTCACTTTTAAAGAAAAATGTTCCAAGAAATTAGGAGCATCTGAAAAATTAGTTTTGTAGGCAACCTGAGGATTCCCCCTGTGTAGGGGCATTTCTGGAAAGAGGGTAGCACCCTTCCCACCACCCAACTCTGCTCGGCCATCGTGAACCGAGCAGCGCCGCTTCCGCCGCCAACTCTGCTCTCCCGCTATTGCCGAGCTTCTCCATGTTTGTCTGTCCTGGGCTCCCACCTTCGTGAAAACCACAGAAGACAACCATTTTCAGCCTTTGTTCGGCTACCGTGAACCAAACAGCACCTCTTCCGCTGCCACTCTGCTCTCCTACATTTTTGCGCCCTTTTTCCAGGCGCCATAGCCATGGAGCCCGATCAGATCTCCGCTGCAGTTTTGACCATTGTAAATACCTCGCGCATTATCCAGCAGTATGTGCAGTACCTGCAAAACCGGGCGAGGAAGCGACGACAGCGCGATTACGATAGTGATGAGGACATGGACACAGACGTTCCTAGAAGCACAGCATGTGGCGATTGGGAGATCATGGTGGCGTTGGGCTAGGTTCATGCCATGGAATGCCAATTCTGGGCCTGGCAAACAAGCACAGACTGGTAGGACCGCATAGTGTTGCAGGTATGGGATGATTCCCAGTGACTGAGAAACTTTCGTATGTGTAGGGCCACTTTCAAGGAACTTTGTGACTTGCTGTCCCCTGCCCTAAAGCGCAAAGACACCAAAATGAGAGCAGCCCTCACAGTTCAGAAGTGAGTGGCCATAGCCCTGTGGAAGCTTGCAACAGCTACCAGTCAGTCAGGAATCAGTTTGGAGTGGGCAAATCTACTGTGGGGTCTGCTGTGCTGCAAGTAGCTAACACAATCATTGACCAGCTGCTATCAAAGGTAGTGACTTTGGGAAACGTGCAGACCATTGTGGATGGCTTGAATGCGCTGGGGTTCCCTAACTGCCGCGGGGCAATAAATGGAACGCATATCCCTATCTTGGCCCCGGAACACGGGGGCGGCCAGTACATAAACCGCAAGGGGTACTTTTCCATGGTGCTGTACGTACTGGATCACAAGGGACGTTTCACTGACATCAACGTGGGATGGCCGAGAAAGGTGCATGACACTCGCATCTTCAGGAACTCTGGTCTGTTTGAACAGCTGCAGGAAGGAACTTACTTCCCAGACCAGAAAATTACTGTTGGGGATGTTGAAATGCCTGTAGTTATCCTCGGGGACCCAGCCTACCCCTTAATGCCATGGCTCATGAAGCCATACAAAGGCATCCTGCACAGTAGTAAGGAGCAGTTCAACTTTTCGTCTGAGTAAGTGCAGAATGGTGGTAGAATGTGCGTTTGGACATTTGAAAGCTCACTGGTGCTGTTTACTGACTCGGTTAGATCTCACCACAATCAGTATTCCAATTGTAATTGCTGCTTGTTGTGTGCTCCACAGTATCTGTGAGAGTAAGGGGGAGCTATTTATGGCAGGGTGGGAGGTTGAGGCAACTCGCCTGGCGACCAGTTTCGCACAGCCAGACAACAGGGCGATTAGAAGAGTGCAGCACATCAGAGAAGCTTTGAAAGCCAGTTTCATGACTGCCCAGGATACAGTGTGAGAGTTGTATTTGTTTCTCTTAAAGTTACCCGCCCATATATATATATATATATATATATATATATATATATATATGGGAATAAAGTCACAATTGTTTAAAAAACATTCTTTATTATTTGTTGCACAAAACATTGAGAGAAATCAGAAGCTAGACGGGGGTATTGGGTTAGTGGGGCAGCGGAGGAGGAAAGGACAAGTCCAGAAAACAAATCAAAATTTAGGATATGCCAGCTTTCTGCTGCTTGTGCAATCCTCTGGGGTTGACTGTGTGGGTCCCCGTAGCCTCTCCCCCCCCCCCCCCCCCCCCCCGTGTTCTTGGGCGTCTGGGTGAAGAGGCTATGGAACTTGGGGAGGAGGGAGGGAGGTTATTCAGGGGCTGCAGCGGCAGTCTGTGGTCTTGCTGCCTTTCCCGCATTAGATCCACTATACAGCGGAATATGTCAGTTTGCTCCCCCATGAGCCTGACCATAGCATCCTGCCTGTTCTCATCGCACACGTCCCTCCTCTCTTCATATTCATGTAACGCTTTACGCGACTCCGCAATTGTTTGCCTCCACACATTCGGCTGGACCCTATCAGTGCGAAAGGACTGCATGACCTTGGCAAACGTGTCGTCCCGAGTTTGTTTTTTCCGCCTTCTAATCTGGACCAGCCTCTGGGACAGAGTAGATAGCGGCCGCGTTGAAACATTTGCACTGGCTGCAGGAGGAGAAAAAGGGAAGGTAGTGTTTTAAAAGATACATTTTGGAGAACAAAGGGGACACTCTTTCTCAGTGAAACAGGCAATTCATAGTACACAGCACATGTTCTTTCTGTACACGGTCTCATTTTGCCTCTTATACTGAAGGGCCTGCTACTTTGGTGTGAGTAAGCCATCACATGCTGCCAGGCAACAGAATTCAGCTTGCAGGCAGCCATGGTAAGCCCTGGGGCACGTGGGGTTCTGCTGCTTCCGCATTCATTTCAATGCTTTCAAACTGCCGGGCCCCCTTTCCCATAGCAAGCAATGCCTGGTGGGTTTGCATTTTAAAGGAGGGCCTGCGGGCTCTCTGTGATGATTGCTTCACACAGCACCCTCACCCCCCCTCCGCCACCATGAGGCTCTGAGCAGGGATGAGCCCTTTAAACTAAATGCAAACAGCTCAGCATGGCTGGCTTTCCCCCCACCCCCCACCGCATGGCTCTGATCAAGCTCTCACTCATCAGAAGTGCCTTCTCCAGGGTCATGGTCCGGTAAGAAGAAGAATATGAAGAATACTGTTTTAAGCCCCAATCCTGCAAATATACATTGACTTAGCTTTAACTCTGTGAATAGTTCCACTGGTTTCAAATGATCACAAAGTTCATTGATCACAAAAACTAACATACCTTGCACAGTGATTGTGCCTATTCCAGTTTGCTTTAAATCCATAAACAATGAACACAAAGAAACATACCTTAGAAATTCCTGGTTAGATAATTGGCACCCTGAGAGTAATCATTTCTCTCTCTTCGTTAACTTTCCATGTCCCACCAATCATACAAAAATTAAAGTACTTGTATACAAGGGTACAATCTAGCTTAATGAGCAGCTGTGCCACCCTTGTCCTGAAACCTTGGGTGCCTTACAACACCTGCTGAAGGAGTTCCCACTTGAGCAGCTCACAAACAGCCTTCCAGCATGTAAGCCAAACCCTGAGTGTTTGTGTGTAACTGCAGCCTGCCAGCCACATGTGGCTCTCACCAAGTGCAGGATAACCCAACACACCCCCAGTCTTAGATTTCCCCCCCTGAAATGTTTTTCCTGTGCTGCCCAGCCCTCTCTTGGACAATACAAGTTTCTAAATTCAAAGCAAGCTTTTTTCACCGCATGCTTACAGCAGTTGTACTGACTAAACCTCCTAGGTCAGGACCCCTTCTCCAGTCCCATGGCTGTTTCCTTTGTCCCTTTAGGTGCAGTGAATAGATGGGCAGAATGAGAAACGGGTCCCTGGTAATGTTTGTCCCTCCTTTTTTACAGTGTAAGTCCCTCTCTTGAAAAGCATTTCCAGATGGATACCAGGAGGCAACAAGTCTAAGGAGAAGGATGTTCCCTGCTATTTTTCCTCATGTGTTTGAGCTTCCTTAGTTTCCCTTCCTGCTTAATGACTCTGTTTATTGTTTAAATACAAATTAAGCAGAGCACACATTCGTTTGTTTGAGACAGACCTGTTTTCCAAGCTCAGTTTGGAACAATGTGTTACCACCACCATAAACTGGAATCTTATACACATACAGTATTGCCGCACATATTTTATCAGGACGGTACTGATCAGAAAAGTGACTTTTTAGATACCTTACAATACTTTGTACAAAGATTATTATAATAATGTGTAGGGTGTGAATACAGGGGTACTTTCCGTCACAATGGGGAACACCAAAACCAAAGCTACTGTGGTGAAGAAGCTTCTTCATCAACTCTTGATATTGGTGTCAAGCAAGTGTGTGTGTGTGTGTAAGCTATTATAAAAGCAATGGTCTCTGACACACATTTTTGAAACTTCATCTGCAAACTGTACATGTATGTCTTCTCCAAATTTAAAAAGACCCTATACTACAAACATCTAAAGCCTTTATAAAATAAGATGAGAGAGGAAAAAATGGAAATGTGACACTAAGCACCCCTGTATTCATACCCTGCCCACTGTTGTAATCATCTTTGTACCAAATATTCCTTGTGAGGTATCGTTTGAAAACTAATAGCTCATGATCATTAATATTCATGCATGATGTATGTACTCAGTGGGTATTAAGAGTTATGGACTTAGGCTGTAATGATAGCTAAAATGTGTTCAAACCAGATATGTCAGGGGGAGTTGTTAAACAGGTGTGTTTACCTCAGTTTATGTATAAACAGTAAACAGACCCATCAAGCTAACAAGGAGTGAGGCAAACCTCAAAACAAGAAGTTTGGGATAAGACAGCTGGCATCTACACCCAGCAGGAGAGAGAAACTTGGCCCAGATTTTACTTTTCAGAAGACTCCATTTTAAAGACTTACTAGTCTGTAAGGACAGGTGAGGGGGATGGTGGGGGAGCTGACTCTTTACAGGGGCATCACATCTTAATATCTCAACTGCCCAGGAGAGGGTTGGACATTGCAGAACACGTTTTGGGGGAAATCTGGGACTGAGAATATGTTGGGGGCAGGCTGTGGCACAATCCCTCATTGGTCTCTGTTGCAACCCAGAATGTGACAGGGAAGTTTGAAGGTATAGTCACTGTACCTAACATTGGTTCTTCCAAATTTAAGAAGCATGCGAGCATCGATCACAGACATTTAAAATCCACTGCAAAGTCCTTGATCTAAAAATAACGCACCTTGTAAAGTAGATGTGTAAAGACTGTTACAGGGCACAGCATAAAAATGGTTGGAGCAGTTTCCCAAGTTTGTTTAATTACCAAGTATTACTCATTTTTCCAGGGTTCTTCTGGTTCCTCTTATTTTTTATTTTTTTTATTTTATAATTAAAGTGTTCTTGTTAAGCGTTGTTGCCCCTAAGGTTACTGCTATGTCTTAGTGTTGACCCTGTTTAATAATTATTTGTTGTTAGGAGTATGCACCAAGCTTTTTGACATCTGCTTTCCAAGACCTGCTGGTACTGCTTGGTAAAGGGACAGTCTCCTGATTTTAACCACTTCCCTTAATTGCAAAAACTGTTGTAGGAAAGAGAAAGGTGCCTGCCATGATTCCCTGAGTAATACTTTAATAAGTGATAAAATAACAGTTCAGCAAGGGATATGTACACTCTTGTTTTCAGTGAGATATCCTTTATAGTTGTAAAGCTGAAGGAATATGTTTATTGGTCATTAACCACCACATTAAGCTGAATAAATAGTAATAATTAAAGCTTAATAAAAATGGAAATCTACTTTGTAGATTCAGAAGATTGAATATTGGCGTAAACACCTTAACTTTCCGTTGAGTAACATACAGTAGGATGTATGCACAATACATAGGTAAAATATCATTTTTAATGGCATGGGGAAATTACAATCCAGTTGCGTCTAAAGCAACTTCTACAAATTGCAGCACATTCATCAGGTTTTATGTATAGAAACGTACATACTGCAAACCCAGCAAATGGAATATGGAATCTATAAAGAGATGCTCTAGTTCAAAAGGAATCTAGTAGCATGGCCTCTGTTATATTGGAGGTCAGCATAGATTATTAGAGTGTCCTTTCTGTCCTTGGATTATATGCATTTATAAATCTAAAGAAGGAATCCAAAGTGTAGAATCTCATGTTGTTTTCTTCTCAACTCTTTTTTGTCTACATGCTGTCCATACAAGACTGCAAACTCTCCAGGGACCTAGTTTATGTCCACAAACAGGCCTAGCAGACTTGGGTGTTGTTTAAATAACCATAAATAATGATAATGGCAGGAAGAGAGAAATATTTTCCTCCTGAAGAGTTTTGTTGAGTGTGCTTGAGTTTTAATATTAAGCTAAATCTAGCTTGCCTATGCATTTTTGTAAGACTGAAGCTAGGAAATGTTAATGTGGTGTTTGGGAGAGAAGTCATCCTTCTAGTAATTCTGGGAAAACTTATGCTAAAAAAAAAAAAGAAAGTTTACCATTTTCCATCTGTATCATCTCTAGTTTAGAAAGAATAGCAGTTGGAGAGAAACAGCTGCACATCATTATAATAATTTACCTTACCTTTTCCTTTAAATTGCAAAATGTACTTTCGTGCAAACTTAAGCTGGGCAGTTTACTAAGAAAATACTGTTTTGATTCTTAGAATAACATGTAGTCAAATTCCAGTTCTTCTGAGATGTCCAGGTTATCTGGAGTATGATGGATGGATTTCTAGAACGAAAAGAAATCGTTTCAGTGATTTAACTCTGTTTTGCTTTTCTAGCCATTCTCATTGGTCAAACCAACAATCTTATTTTATTTCCTTCAGAGCTTTACCTAATGTCTTTATGTGAGACTAAATGCTTGGTTTTGAGGAGATGGGGAATTTTGGTCCAACTTTTACAGCTTTTCTTATCTTTCAGGATTTTAATGTTGGGATTTGTTAGCGTGCAGCCTACATAAGAATAATTTGTATTATGTACCAAGTAACGCATGTGGTCTTGACATATGAAGCTGGATGAAATTTTTCATGCAAACACTTCTTTGCCAAAAATGCATATTTGGATCATCTGAAATAATTCACTAATTTGAGTCAAGTTCAGCCAATTGTTTTTGTTTTTGTTTTGTTTGTTTTGGGGGGGAGGTGGAAATTGGAAATGTGAAAATGGTTCATGGTCTCATTTCTGTAACAAAATGTTTTGACTTTTTTCATTTCAGAAAGAGGGTTTGTTTCTTGATTTCCTTCAATTTTATCTTTAAAAAATTTTAAAACATCTAAAAAAAAAACCCTCTGAAAAACGTTTCAGTAGACACAAAATGAAACTTTCTGTTTTAGTCCACTGAAATTTTGAAATATTTGGTCTTGGGTTGACCCATAATGATTTTTTTTCAGACCTGCACCTGAACTGAATATTCAGTTATTTGTACAGCACTATTAGGATATGCTTGTAAAACATGGGTATGCGATATTGGAGGTTTATAAATAATTACTTCTGGAGGAATTCTGCACCATAGTGCACGTGCAGAATTTATGTCCCCCCCACAGATTTCATTGCTTCCCTGCAGAAAAATGACTTTCTGATGGGGAAGCAAAGGAAAGCCTCAAGAGCAGTCACGTGCCCCTCTCTCGCAGCATGGGTGCGTTGTTTCAGGGTTCCGAAGAAGCCAGCAGAGATGCAAATAACCATGGAGAGGGAGGGGTTGGGTGCGCCGTGGCCGGTGGCTTCTAACTGGCTCTGGAGAGACTGGGGAGTACAGGACTTCCTCTTCCCCTTCAGGGACCAGGTCAAGCCCACCCCCAGAAATCTCCCCTGGCTGCAGGAAACTGCACCCCCTAGACCCAAGTTCCTGCCCCCATCACTCCTCAGCCGTGGGGGGAGAGGTTACCTGTGCGCCCAGCTCCTGTGCATCCAGACCTGCTCATACCCAGACTTCTCTGCTGAGCCTCGCCCCCTCCACACCAAACCACCCACAACCAAACCCCCACTTTACCGAGCCTCACCCCCTGCGTCCGGACTCTCCCCAGCACCCGGAGCACCTCTCACTGAGTCCATCTCACTCAACCCCCCACCCCAAATAATACCCCCCCCCCGCACCTGGACCCCTACCTCACCAAGCCACACTCCCCCAGCACCCTCACTGAGCCCTTCGCACCCAGACCTCCCCTGCAGAGCCCCATCCCTCCCACATCCAGACCCCCCAGCTTAGCCCCAAGTACCTTCACCTACATCCCCCTGCAGAGTCCCATTGCCACTGAACTTGGAACCCCCAACGAGCCCCTGTGCATCCAGATCCCCACGGCACCCAGACCCCCTACCGAGCTGCCTGCACCCAGGTTGCCCCACACTGAACCCTCTCTCACCACACCTGGATCCCTCCACACTTGGATCCTGCTGGGCTGCCCACATGTGGTGTGCCTGTTGCGGAGGAGCAGAGGGCTGCAGGGTGATCTCCCACATCCATGCAGCCAGTGGGCTGTGCTCCCCACTGCCACGATGAAGCCTCCACATTTATTAATTAATAAATAAAATTAGCAGAATTTTAAAATATATTGTGCACAAAATTTTTAGTTTTTTTGGTGTATAATACCCCCGGGAGTAAATAATGTCTTCTCCCTCTGTGCAAAATTAACAGTGACTGGGAGTATTGTTTCTGAATGCTGGAACGCACTGTGTCATTTTCTGGTTTTACTGTATGTTTTCTGTGACTGTTATAGCTTTTTTGTTACTCATAGTATCTGCCTGCAGTTTTACTATTTATTTTGGCGTATTAAAGTACAGAACAGCCTGTAAAGCATGGATTTTTTTTTTTTGTTCACTAAAACTTCTCTCCAGAGCAGATCATTGAAAGTGTTTTAGCATTTTTCTTCCCCATTTTCAGTGTTTTCTTCAGGATGAAAACATTTGATCAGGACTGAAACGCATATACGTGTATAAATATTTTTCTCTATTTCCACCAATATCTGAGTGTTATGTTTTTCTCCCCCTTGTACTTTGTTTAGTTCAAAACTTTCAGAACTGTTGGGCAGTTTTACAACTAAAAAAGTGTGCACTATGAATGTATACTGTGAATCTGTATACTCTAATGAATTTGTATATAATGGCTATAGCCATGTAGATGTTTTTTACTCATTTAGTATTAAAAAGTCTTCCTTCATTTACACTGTATTTTCATCGGTGTAACTCCATTGGTTTCAAAGCAATTACTCCTGGGTTTATAGTAATGTGATTAAAGAATCAGAGAGAAAAGGTTGGTATAGTAATATCTTTTATTGCACCAACTTCTGTTGGTGAAAGCGACAAGCTTTCAAGCTTCCGGCAACCTAAAGAACTCTGTGGAAGCTCAAAAGCTTGTCTCTCTCACCAACAGAAATTAGTCTAATAAAAGTTATTACCTCACTCACCTTGTCTCTTTAATATCCTGGGACTGACCTGTCTATAAGAACACTGCATACAGTGAAGAATGAGAAATTGGATAGATGAAGATGACGACTTTAGTATGAAAGATTATGTTTAGTTGGCTTGTGTTGTGGTGTACGTGCTTCAAAGTCAGGCACAATGCACAACAGAATGCATTAAAAAGTGGTGGCCCTGTTTTAGAGTTTAGATCTTTTGGTTTATCATAAATGTATTGTTACTTAAACATAGGATGGTGAAGATATATTGAATTGACTGTATGGAAATCCATATAGATTTCACCTAATCAAAGAAGGGCATCTAGATAGATGTGCTATAGCTATAATTTACAGCATCTTCTGCTATTGTACTTGTAACAATACAAAAAACACCCTCCATACAATTTTGTCTCCTTCCAAAACATATTTCCTTTTGAGTCTATGGTGTCTGATTTTCAGGTGGGTCACTGTCCAACATACTGTTTGCTTCTTCCCCTTTGAGCTAACATACATATCCTCCATGCAGGTCAGTTTCTCCTAGAAGAATCCCGCCTGATAGAAGCAGCTGAAATGGCAAAGAAGGCAGCTGAGCTGGACAATACAGAGTTTGATGTTGTCTTCAATGCAGCCCATATGCTCAGGTTAGTTCTCTACCTTATTCTTATTTGGTTTTCTTGCTTTCTCTTTTCCCCCAACCCCAAACTCTGCAGTATTTGCTTACAGCAAGTTTTTTTAACCAAATACCCCTTTTGAAAACTTTGTTATACCTAATAAGGAAGAAAAAAATGGAGTGAAAGTTTTGCAGACTCTAGCAGAGTCTATTTGTAACTTTTCTATATTTTACACTCCTTATTCACTACCTTGGAAATTTCTGTATTTCACAAGCTTGTAATCCTCTTTGGTTGTATATGAGAACAATGTATCTTTTCGTACAGTATTTTCAGCAAAATTTCCTTTTAAATTATTTTTAAAGACTTGAGTCTCAAAAATAGTCCATAAATAAGAGAATGGAACTCTATTGCTCTGACTGTAACGTGAGAGTATTGGAAATACCAAAGAATATTATATAAATATCATTAGGGAGTAGAAAACTGATTAGAAGTCTAAATATCAGTCTCAAGGATATGGAGACTTTGAGAAATACAGGGGTGATTAATGATATTATCAGAACCCCTTGATTCAGAGGCAGTCTTGTATTTAATTTTGTTCTGCTATCTGAAATTTTAGAGGGCTTGTCCTTCCGTTTAAAACCAATGCACCTTGACTTTCAGCAACTTTGAGCTTCTACCTAAACAATTACATTAAGCCCGCATTACTGTATTAGTCTCCGGGCTTTATTTCTAGGCTAACTGTATAATGATTATGCTTCTTATGTACTTAAAAGGAAGAGCAATGACTGATCACAAATGGTTTGGATTAGCCTATATCTTGCTTTAGAAAATATACTGTGAATAAGGTACAAAAATAATAGAAGTGGTTTTGAGTAAATACATTCAATTAGCACAGAGTAGTCATTAGAACCGTTATCTTAATAGACTTCTCTTGCTTTACTCTTTATAATTTTAACATCCACAAATACAAAATAAAAAAAATGGCTTGTAAAAGAAGACAGAATAAGTTCTTAGGTGAGTGACCTACTTTCCAAACTGAACTGAAGGTTCCTATAGCAAGATTTTGAAATAAGCCCCAAAATGCCTTTAAAAGATTGCTCGAAAGAGATGGACTCAGTTCTTGTAGATCAGTAAAGAAAATCAAGACAAATGGTTCAATTGTTCATCCATTAAATATTATCCCAAACACTTGCACCAACAGGGATAGTTTTAAGGATCCTTCTGTTTGCATGCTCACTTTCTAACATTTAATCCTCCTTAGGAATGGGCATTCAGAGTCATTCATCTAAACATTAGATTAGTGAAGAACACAAGCCTAGGAAGTTAGGCATATAGATGACGGGGTTCACTATAAAATGGAGTGTTGGTTTTGTCTTTAAAGTGAAGGTATGATGCTGAGGGGCAATGGTATATCATCAAGGTGGGTTAGTGTTGTCACCCTTATAGGGCTAGCTGCACTTCTGATCCCTTCATGGCATCTCTGAATGTACCCCCATCAGGTTTGACCTTGCCCTTTACTACCCTGGGGTAAAATCATGCTATTCTCCTACTCTTAGGCCTGGTCTACACTACAAAGTTAGGTCAACATAAGTCACCTTGTGTCAACACTCAAATTTGTCTCTGGCTGACATAAGTGCCCCATTACAGCAAGCAGTAAAACCACCTCCCTGAATGGAATGGAGCCAAGATTGACACATTGGGGTCAATGCAGTGTGAGTGTAGTAGAC